TATATATATATATATATATATATATATATTATTAGAATATAATTTTTATTTTTTAAAATATATTATTTTTTTAATAAAAAAAATTTGTATATGTAAAATGGTAGTGGGGGCAAGTGCCCCCACTCTCTTGTATGGGGATTAAAATCAAAATGAAATTTCCACATTCTTGACAAATGACAAGGTTCTTCTCACTTGGCCAAACAAAAGGTGTTATCATTACTTAGATTTTTTGCCCCTCCTCGAATTGTAATTTTAGAGTCACATTTTATGCTTGTCTAATCATTCATCGTCCCCACAGTCCACCAATTCCCAAACCATGCCCACTTATTTATTATCTTTCCTGTTCCAAACCATGCCCACTTATTTATTATCTTTCCAGTTCCAAACCATGCCCACTTATTTATTTACCCAAATAACACAACACCATACTCCACGTTACCAGCCAAACCTTTGGAATTTTAAAAGTCTATTTTAATAATTTAATTTAAAAATATAAATGATATATATATATATATATATATATATATATTTTATCAGTAGATAAAAATAATATATTTTTAAAGATAATAAGTTATTAAACAATGTCTAAAAATGTTTTTGTTAACGAATGATTCTTAAAAAAAATATTTTTTATAGAAAAAATATTCTTTACTAAAAAAATCCATTTTGAATTGATTAGAAATGACTGTGTTAAAAACATTAAGACTCTAGATAACTTTAATATAGGATTAATTTGTGGTTTACAATTACATGGCAGAGTGCATGTGCTGGCTGCGGTCAAATGGTTTTAAATCGAAAAGATTTTTCCTTATTCTTTGGGCAAAGCAAAGGTATCATATATCATCAATTAAATAAATTTAGGGCTGATTGACCAATTTGGGGTATTTTTTTTAAATTATTTACGTAAATGGAGCTGTTTTTAAATAATGTACACTTTTGGGGCACTTTTTAACGGTGTCGTTATGGGCCATAGCGACACCGGTGACACGTGAAATTTGTTAAGTTCAGGAAAGCCATGAAAGCCATATTTACAATGTCGTTACAGTCCATGACGACAAAAAACGGCTTCAATGAAGTCGCTATAACCTATAGCGCCTCATTTTTAATATAAAATAAAATATTTAGAAAAATATAAGTAAATGGTTTTAAAAAAAACGAATTTGTAAAACTGGCGCTATGGCCTATAGCGACACAATGTCGCTATAGGCCATAGCGCCACTTATTTAAATATTAAAATACATAAATTTAAAATTAAATATATTTAAAAATAAAGAAATTACAGAGAAGATAAATAAAAAATATATAATTTTATATTACATTCATAATATAAATTAAAATTTGAACAAAATAAATAAGTTAATAATTTAAAAAAATAATTTACTGCAATTAAATAATTTTTTGTAAAATAATTTACTGGAATGTTGAGTATATAATAATTTTTAACAGATATATTTTATTTAAAAATTGTGTATAGTGTATAATAAAATATGAAAAAAATAAATTTTTTCTAGGGATAGAGTTTTTTTATATAAATGGAAATAATAAACAACATTTTCAAAAAATTTGTTTTTTTTTTGTCATTGGGTCATTTTTTTCTTCAGATTTATTCTAGCAGTTTTTTTTTAAAATTTATTTTGTAATTCATTTTTTTTTCTACATTTTTTTCCTTCACTTATTTTTTGCCCAGTTTTTTTTTTAAATTTACATATAAAAAAATTATTAATACACTTAAACAATAAATTTTCTTTAAACTACACAATTAATTATTTTTAATTAAATTTATTAACAAATTACTGAAAATATATTTTTTGATTATATTAAACAAAATACTGAAAATAAAAATTTAATTAAATTTGTTTATTTCTGTACTTATTTGATTAAAAATATAAAAATTAAGTTTTTAAAATGAAATATTAATATTTAAAAAATAAATAATATACAAAAATGGTATCGCTATCCATAGCGACACCTATTTTTTCAGTTTTTTCGTTTTTATTTTATTTACTTATTTTTTCCCCAGTTTTTTTTAATTTAACATATAATTATATAATTTTATTTAAATTATTTTGTTTGTGTACTTTTAATTAAAAATATAAAAACAAAAATTTAAAAATAAAACGTGATTATTTGCAAAAAAAAATTATACAAAATGCTTGGCGCTATGGCCCATAGCGGCACCAAGTCATTATGGCCTATAGCGCCTCTTTAAAAAAATTCATATAATTTAATTTAAAATTACATTTTTAAAAAACTTAATTTCATTTTTATAAATATATAATAAATAACTCAGTTTATTATTTTTATTTTACATTTCTATTATTTTCGTTTTTATTTTTATTTTTTTCTTACGGAGTGTCGTTATGGGCTACATTATTTTTTTTAGTTCATCAAGTATGTTGCCTTAGCCTATAGCGACATTGATGTGGCTCATATTTCAGCCCAATCTAAACAAAAAAAAATATCACGTGTCATGAGTGTCGTTATGGGTCATAACAACACTGTTGTAGCCCCAAAGATGTAATTAGTTATAAAACAACACCATTTGCATAAAATATTTTTAAAACAGCCCCACAATGGTCAAAAAGCCTGAACGTAGACTTATATAAGGTGATTTACTGCCCCCACCTCTACAATTTTCCAGTGCTTTCTTTTACTATATTCCTTCTTCCTTAAGTATAAAAGCAGCACATGGAATCGCAATTTTAGAAGCTTAAGTTAAGGTCATGGCAACCCATCACCTTTTATGTTTGTCTAATCCTTTCTCTTCCCCCTCACCAACTCTAAGTACTGCTACTAGATCATTTCCCCTCACTAACAACTTCAACCACAAAACATCTCTTGCCAATTCCAAACCATGCCCATTTATTTGCTCTCAAATAACACATCATCATCATACTCGACGTTCAGCTAATTACCAACCAAACCTTTGGAATTTTGAATTTCTGCAGTCTCTGCAAAATCACCATCAGGTGTTTACCATGTTTAGTTAGTTTGCATGATTTTTTTTGTCGCTTATTATGTTTAAAACTGGTGAGACTAAGCGATGTAAATAATATGATAAGGGAAAAAAAGATAAAACAATAATATGCATGTTAGATGTTAAAGTATCCAATATATATATATTGTACGTAGGTGGAAAAATTGGAAGAGAGAGGAAGAAAGCTGGAGAAGGAAGTGCGATGCATGATGAACAAAGCAGATGCTGAAGCGCTAAGCTTACTAGAATTGATCGATGATGTTCAGCGCCTCGGATTGACCTATAGGTTTGAGAAAGACATAATCAAAGTCCTTGAGAAGATTGTTTCGTTGGATGAGATTGAGAAACACCAAAGTGGCCTTCATGCTACTGCTCTCACCTTCCGTTTACTTCGACAACATGGCTTTCATCAGGTCTCCCAAGGTATCTATATCTATATGTTACGCTTATTACCACCACATTAATTAAACATGTTGACTAAGTTAATTAACATGCATGGAGCAGATATGTTTAAGAGGTTCAAGGACAAGGAGGGAGGATTCAATGATGAACTTAAAGGTGATGTGCAAGGTTTGTTGAGTCTATATGAAGCATCCTATCTTGGCTTTGAGGGAGAATATCTCTTGGATGAGGCTAGGGCATTTTCAATAACACATCTCAATAACAGCCTAAAACAAGGAATAAACACCAAATTGGCAGAACAAGTTAGCCATGCACTCCAACTTCCCCATCACCGAAGACTGCATAGACTGGAGGCACGATGGCAGCTTGACAAATATGAACCAAAGGAACCCCACCATCACTTACTACTCCACCTTGCAAAACTGGATTTCAATATACTGCAATCCTTGTACCAGAACGAGCTGCGAGAACTGTCAAGGTTAATTAATTAATTAATTACCCGATAAGAAATTAAATAACAAGTAGGAATTGTTAATTAAGGTACGAGTTATGTTATGTTAGGTGGTGGAGGGAGATGGGGTTGACAAGCAAGTTGGAGTTTGTCCGAGACAGATTAATGGAGGTGTATTTTTGGGCATTAGGAATGGCACCTCATCCTGAATTCAGTGAATGTCGTAAAGCTATCACTAAAATGTTTGGACTAGTCACCATTATCGATGATGTTTATGATGTGTATGGTACTTTGGATGAGCTACAACTCTTCACCGATGCTGTTGAGAGGTTCGTGTCTTATCATATCAACTTGAATTAATTGGCTTATAAATTAATTATGTATATGTGTATGTAATTAAATTAAATTGGACGCTTGCAGATGGGATGTGAATGTCGTAAATACACTTCCATACTACATGAAGTTGTGTTATTTAGCTCTCTATAACACCGTCAATGAAACGAGTTATAGCATCCTTAAAGAAAATGGACATAACAGCCTTTCCTATTTGGCCAAATCTGTGCGTGCTAGCTTATCTCTTTCATTAGTTAATTTAATTAATTAATTGGTAATTTTATTTATATATATTATATGTGGATGGTGATGATATATATAGTGGTGTGAACTGTGCAAAGCATTCCTGGAAGAAGCAAAATGGTCAAAGAAGAAAGTGATTCCGGCATTGAATAGGTACTTAGAAAATGCATGGGTGTCCTCCTCAGGCGTGGCTTTGCTTGCTCCTTGCTATTTCTCAGTGTGCAAAGAAGAAGACAAGATCTCAGACGAAGCTCTTCATTCTTTAACTAATTTCCATGGCCTTGTGCGTTCCTCGTGCGCCATCTTCAGGCTCTACAATGATCTGGCTACCTCTGCGGTATGGAAGATGGATAAAAAGAGAAATAAAGAAATAAAAATGGATATATATAGTACTAGTTGATGATGCATGTGTTTGTTGGTGTAGGCTGAGCTAGAAAGGGATGAAACAACAAATTCAATGACGTGCTACATGCATGAGAATGGTAGTTGTGAGGAGCAAGCACGTGAGGAATTGAGAAAAATGATCGAGGTGGAGTGGAAAAAGATGAACCAAGAAGGAGTCTTGGATTGTACACTCCCAACAGCTTTTAAGGAAATAGCTATGAACATGGCTCGAGTTTCCCATTGCACCTATCAACATGGAGATGGACTTGGAAGACCCGACTACACCACACAAAACAGAATCAAGTTGCTACTTATAGACCCTCTTCCAATCAATTAACTATTGCATTTCTTTCCTTTTCAACATCAGGTTGGGTTCTATAAATATATATAAATAAGTTGGATTGTATAAATTTATATAAATAAACAACTTGTGTTGCCTATCCATTTCATAGAGTTGGATTCTATAAATTTAAACAAGTTGGGCCAAGTATGTGTTTGATACAACACAATCGTCATATTACTTGATTTAACTTGCTAATTTTTTGTAATTACTTTTTTATTTCATTTTTTTTTTATATTTTAACAATTTTTTATTTGTTTCAATTTAGTTGTTGTTTTATAGTATTAATGTAATATTAAATATGGTTTTTTATTATACTCTTAACTATTATTAATGCACTTTTTAATTATTAAAAAGTTTCGTAATTTATTTTATAAAATTAAATATATTAATTATATTTTTGTAAGTCTCGTGTGAAAATCTTTAACCGTCAAATAAAATAGAATGGCAGAATATTTGACTTAACTCCTTGATTCTCTTAATAGATGTGAATTTTAGTTTCAGTGAGATCTATGAACTCATATCCAGAGGTGTTCACATACCGAATTGGATTGATTTTGTTGATTCAATCAGTTGGGACAAGTGAAAATTCATGTCAAACCAAAATGTCTCTGGACATAAGTTTTCATAACCCAACTTGTTGAGTCATAATTGGAACTCATTTTATAAATAAAAGCATAAAATAATAATAAATATAATCAAATATATTGTCATAAAAATAATGATAAATAAAACTGTTTATAATATTATTCAAGTAGCCAATAAAATTATTTTTAATCAAACATATTTTTCATATATATTTATATGAAAGTAGCAGTATGTAATAATAGATTTATTTGTGAAAAAGAGAATACAAAAAGTATGGGCCAGGATTGAAGGAGTTGAAATAAAATGGCCCATAAAAATTAGGGTTAGATGAATGAAATTGGGGAGAAGAGGGAGTGAAGAAGGAATGGCGATTGAGAAGGCAAAACGAAAATCAAATAGTAACAGTGAGGGCGTGAGAAGAGAGAAGAAGAAGAAGAAGACGAAGAAGCACGAGGAAGAGGAGGCAATTGATGCATCGGAATCAGCGCAGTTGAATTTCTTGCAGTCGGCGATGGGTATTCAGCTTTCTTCGCTCGAGTTGGAATCCCTCAAAGGTCACTTTACTATTCTATGCTATGTTATGATGTGCCATGTTGTGCCAAAACATAAACTTTTTCAGCATTGCAGATAGGTGCATCCTGGAGGCTGATTCAGACGTTGAAATGTTGGGGAAAAACATTAAGGCAGCGTTTGGCGCCTCATGGAAAGAGGTCTTGTGCGAAGGGCAGGGCAAAGTTGATGCCGGAAGCCCCGCGGTTCTGATTCTAACTTCCTCTGCCCTCAGATGCATTCATCTTTTAAGGTATTTCACGCACTCATATTCCCAAACAATGCTTTTTTTCTTTAACCCTAACCCTAATTTTCTCTTCCAGGGGCTTTCGCTCTATGACTAAACAATGCCATGCTGCAAAGCTATTCTCAAAGCATATGAAGCTTCAGGAACAGGTACTCTCTCTCCCCAACACTCAATTCAATAATGCATTCTCATTTCGTTGTAAATTCTTCTTATGCACTTCCTCGGCAATTCCTAGTAGTTTTGTATGTTCAGATTAACGATTTCAAGATATTGTCCAACAAAGTAAGTTTAATTTCCAAAAATTTAACCCTATGTATAATGTATATCGGAGCTGTGATTTTAAATTTATACCTATAATGTTTCAATCCTCTTTTCCCTTGGACCCTAGGATTTTAGTTTTGATATTTAAATAACTGTTGTTCTTCAGTGGTGCATTGTTTCTTTTTCATTTAACTTGCTGGTTTTTCCTTCATGTGCATGATGTACAAATTTTGTGGTCCTTCATCCCATTGATTTTGCTTCATGATCAATGCAGATTGCTTTGTTAAAAAACCGTGTTAATATTGCTAGCGGCACACCAAGCAGGTTGGTCATCCCAAATACTTTGGTTAGAGAAAATCTTGACATTGTTAAATTTGTAGTGATGTAATTATTGTCATATATGAATATCAAATTCAGGATAAAGAAGCTAATGGATGCTGAGGCATTAGGCCTGTCAAGGTTGCAAGTACTTGTACTTGATTTACATCCTGATGTGAAGGGTTATTCGTTGTTTACCCTTCCACAAGTCAGGTTTGCTCTTTGCTTCTACTTGTACCTAACCTATACATGTTCTGTTTTAAATTCTTCTAAAGTCAGCCTTATTAATATTACGAGTATATAACTGACTTGCAGAGATGAATTCTGGGAGCTGTTCAAGAATTACTTTTATCAACCGATGATCCAGGGTGATCTGCGTATTTGTCTCTATGGTTACCAGGAGGCTGCTCGTTTAAAGGGAAAACATAAAAAAGGAGATACAATACCTGATACGTAATATACGAAGTTAATCGTCCATGTTTTGATTTTGACTTGTTGTATTCTTAGAAGTTAATTATTTTATTACGCCTTCATTTTATCTACAAATGACATGTTTCTCATCAACGGAATGGCCTTGCCTTTGACGAAGAAAGGGTGACATTATACGTGGTGGAAAAATACATTAAAAAAAAAAACACTTTTTTATGATAAATTACTAATCCCGTTTTGTTTTGGTAGATTTTTATTATTAACGGAATGGCGTTACCTCAACAGAGAGGGTGGACGACATTATTGTTTTACGTGGTGGAAATGTAACAAGAAGATAGACATCACTTTTATTTTTTCTGTATATTGTTATTGCAACTTCATTTTTCATTTTTCAAACTCAAACTCAGACCGAATACAAAACAGCAATGATATGGACGTGACGTGAGTAAGAAAATGTCTACACATTTTGCCATCTTGAAATTTGTGTCCTTATAAGAATAGGAGAAGAAAAAAGGGCAAAAGAAAATGTCATTTTGGGATTTTTCACAATTGTGTTGATAGAGATCCAGTATTTTTTAATCTTTATGAGAGACTTACAGGGGGGAAAATCGACTTAGGGAGAATTGGACTGCAAAATATGAACCAAAAAGTTAATCATGATATACCTCATAACAGTACATCAATTGATTGGAACAAAAGTTGAAATTAACATACCTGACAATCTTCATTAATGAAATTTTTATTATATAAGAATAAATTTAAAATATACAGTAAAGTATTTGAATGAAGACTTACCAGTACCATCTCTATATTAATTTGGGATTGATTAAATTTGAACAATAATACTTCCGGTCTTTTTTTATTAAAAAAGAATAAAGAACGCTTGTTTATAGTAAAAAGAGACCTGAAATAGTAACATTTAAGAATAAAATAATTGAGGTATTTGATAAAAATAAAAGTCATATGATACACTTGGATAGTTATATCCTAAAAATTCCTTTCATTCAAGAATGAGAGTTATAATATAAATAAAGGTGGATTAAAAAAAAGAACATACCAGTGGTATATAATAGTGGGATAAAGCTCTGTTGCGCAAAATACAAATATTTCAACTAAATTAAAATATGGGTTGAAATCTTAACCGCAGTTTATTCGAATTGACATTCTAGATATTTAACAGGAACTCGAATAAAACCATAGCTGGGCATCTAATAATGTCAGATTATGGTGTAGTTTATTGATCAATAAAGCTTAACACTATCAAATAATTATATTAATCACTAATTTTTTATAAGGACAAATATAATTGGGGAAATCCCTTTAGTTATTTTGTTTTTTTTTTCTAGAGTGACACTGCAGCCAAAAAATCAAGAGTGAGCCGTCTGCCTCATCCACTTGGTAGCTGACCACTTCTCTCCAGAGATTACCTCACATCCTCCATGCACACTATTCGGATCTGACTGTCCATCCAACCCCTGACAAGATCAAGCACACACCGTAAGGGTTTCGTTTCAAAAATGTATAGGACAAAAAATTAAACTCTATGATTCAATACTGTTAGCATTGACATTTTCTATCACAAGAATAGTAGGGATGATTAAAAGTTATTTAAGCCTTATTTTGTCTTTGTCCTTTTAATCTTTAGGTTTCCAAGAATTTAGGCCCATTTTTATCTAAAACACTTTTGTCCTTGATGTTCACTGATATCTTTGCTGGTAATTTGTTGGCTAATCTTTTAAGATTTTTGAATCCCTAGTGATATCATTCAATCTATATTTTGAATTTGCAAGATTGGACCTTAAGGAAGCAAAGAGACTTCGAGAAGGAAAAAAATGAAATCACACGAAGACGGTGAAAAGAATTCATAATGAATACAGCGTGCCAGGCTTTGCAAGACACAGAGGAACGAACCTAAGGCTTAGCCAGACAGCAAACCTTGTTTTAATATTTATTTCTAATTTAAAGGTTCATTTTTGGATCTTTTTTTTTTTTTAGGACTTTTAGAGAGATAAAGTGAGTTTGGGAGAGGAAATTCTAGAGACAAGCCTCAAGAACCTAAAGATCAAGACTTTTACAGATCCAGATTGAAGACTCTCTACCACTCTAAATCCTTTTTCTCTTGTATTTGATTAATGATGTATCATGATCAAGGGTTTTTGTATTTGATCTTTATGGATTTCTAAACTCTTAAGTAGAGGGGATGCTGCTTTGGATACCATCACGTAGCTTGACGATCTTGCAAACCCTTTTTCTTGATGAATTTTAATTTGTCTGTTCATATCTATTCTTAATGCTCTTAATTACAGTACTCAAGTCATCATTCTATGACTTGTATGACCCATGCACTTGTGGTAAAAGCTCAAAGATACATATTCTATCCCTAGGGATTAGGGGTACAATCTTGAAAACATTGAAAAAGAATGCTCCTATTTCATAATTCATATGGATAATGTCCATAATAAACAAATTAATTACACTAACCATACTCCAAAAAAGCACTGCATTTCCTTTAGTTGGTTTCACAGATAGCCCTTTGACAAGTTTCCCACCACAGTTACATTCACCTGAACCAGCCTGCATCATATTGCATATTATTAACAGCAGCTTCAAAACAGTCAAAATGTCCAACTAGAATGCCACATAAAACGGCCTAGCACATACCACAGTACTGATAGCTAATACTAGCATGTTAAAAACTGAGCACAATTCTCATGGTAAAGGTAAAATCCAAATAGAATCAATTTATACCTTGAATCAGGAATACAGACCATCAGTCTTACACTTACTAGGTGCTTTAATGCTTTATTCAGTTGGACATTTCATTCCTATCGAGTGTTTCTTTTCTTTTCTTTTTTTCGTGCAATATTTATGTCTTCATTTTTTAATGTATCATAATAATTATTATTATTTACATTTTACACTTTTGCTTTTAAAATAAATTGTCTCCACATACTCAAGGTCCTATGTGCGCCACTGTAGTCCATAAGGCATAATATTGACATACCTAGTTTAAGCAGTAAGCATAATCATGTATTCATAATCATTTGGCATTTCATAAAAAAACATGTATAAATCAATATCTAACTGATTATCAATGAGAAAGAGGAATGATGAATAACATTTGGAACAAAGCCGGGGGACATAATATTTTGAAAGTTCTAGGAAATGCACAATATTTTGATAATTCTAGGGACTAACCAGAGGAATGCACAATATTTTGATAGTTATACGAACAAAACAGAGGAAGATAAAAACAAAAGACCAATGTGTTTTGTCAGTCAACAAGATAAAACACATTTTCTTCTCAGTTGGAACCTAAACTTTCGGTCCAAGACAAATCCAGCTTCAGCCTGCCACCTAATAGAGTCAGGCTATTTATATGCTGCATCATATCTATGCAACAACTACCAAAATAAGTTAAATGACAAATTTCAGAAAACAAGAAGCTTACCAATGGGAAATATGTTTCTCCCCCTTCAATATTGTCACTCAAGTACATAAGCATTGTAGCTATTCGCTGCCCACCACGCTTCAAGTTGAACTGTCTCAAAACAGAAAGGCACAAATGGTTGCATATGGGGTTTCATTGAAGCCACTTCAATCAAGGCAATTCTTATGTTGGCTATAATTTGAAAATTAACAAAGAGAAAAATACAACTTACAGTGTCAGAAAAATAGTCATGATGAGGTTTGTAATATTGATTCTTCTCATACCTGTGCTGCTGCAGATGTTAGCCTTGATACTAGCAAAATCCATCATGTATTGTTCAGATATAGTGTAAAAGAATATGTCATATTCTCACCTCAGGACTTGCATAAGCTCTCCATTTTCAATTGGTATTTGAGAATACACCGAAATTCTTTTTTCAATTGCCTAGTAGAGCAAGGTGAACATATTTTATCATATTGTACAATTAATGCTATTCAATAAAATATTGTTTTGTATTAAAAAAAAAAACTGGGTAAAAACATTAAATATAAGGTTTTCAAGCAATCTAAAAGTTTTATATAATGATGATGAAAAACAGAAATAATATTGTACATATACAGAGATTAAATTTATTATGATTAACTGGTGCAGGTTCATGCTTAACACTTAAAGGTTCTTTCTCAAGGACTACATTAAATACTAAACTGGTTCATATGTTTAAAACTAAATCTAAACCGGATCCCTGAAATCCAATCCAGTTCAATTATGAAAACCAAACGGGTCACTAATGACTTCCCAGACAAGGATTCTTAGCGAACCAGCTAGTTCCACGCAAAAAGTGTGTATCAGACCAAAAAAACTGTTCCAATAATATGGTCACATCAGATGGTGCAGTCCATGTTTTTACACTGATTTATTGACTTAAAAGTAAAAGATTTGAGGGGAAGGTAAAATTTTTAACTTACTTGTATCATGGGATATTTTCTCTCTTGAGGATTCAAAAACATACCAGAGCTGGTCCTGACATCACTCTTGATTCCCTGTAGAAGATAGAAATATCATGTTTCATGAAGAAATACATGTTCATATATGCAAATTAACCCCATATCCTACTGCATTAGATGTCCAGATTTGTTATGATATGGATTTCCTTTCCTTCTTAATCGGATTTTGTAGTGGTAGAAGCATCTGAAAGTTAGTTGTTTGGCCATGTTGGAAGGAGCAAAAGCAATTCTTAGTATTTGTTTGTGGTTAGCTCACTAGTAGAACTGTGATATAGCAGAAACACGAATTTGCCACTTTTCCCAACAATAGAAGTACTTGTAATTGTTAAAGAATTTTTTTAAGATTGATGTTCGATTAATAACTTTAGTTGTTGACAAGTTCAACTCCTCATCCAAACTTTCCCCTTTCATAGTTCTGATAGTAAATAGCACTTATGCCTAACAATGGTCATATATATATATACACACACACACATACAATATCAAATTGTACTCTGAGGCGGATATAGTGATCTATGAGCCTATTTGACCATTACGTGAAATCAACAAAAACTTCTTTTGATCTTAAAGAAATGCATTTCTTTGAACTCTTTAAGGAGTTTTGCCAAATCCCTTTAAGTGTTTTTTTATGACAGCAGATGCACAAAATTGCTGCAAGAGTGTAGTGTACTGTAAATATTTCCCAGTAAGGCCAAATAGACACATTTTATGTGATAGCAAATGCACAAATGTTGAAGAGAAAAGGAATTTTGGTACAATTAGGAAGCAACTCAGAGCAATAAAAAAAAATCAATTTCTAAAAAGGGCCAAAATTTCACAGCAAGGCTAAAATGACATTGATATGAGGAGTGCACATTACAATTGTACTATACTCATATATTGTACACGTCCCTCTTGGGTAGTATAATAAGACTTCAGGTGCTACCCGCATCCAATCAGAGTAACTGGGTTTTCTCTCTAGATCTTTGTCTCTTTGGGTTCTACAAGCTTCATAATCTCCAATTGAAATGTATTTTGCTGGAGAGAAACAAAGAACTTGCCTAATAGAGGGATAGTTGTGTACTCCATAGAGGAGACCAAGCAATAATTTCTAAGTAACTCTTAAAATGGATTCAGTTCTTACATTGATTGAAGAACGGAATTCTTCTTGTTAAGTTTGAAAACTTCTCATTCATCTTTTTCCTTGTCTTAGGTTAGGTATTTTCTGTGAGAAGGGTTTTCCACCCATCAAATTAAGCCATTGAGTAGCTTACAAAAATATAATCTATTCATAAAAGAGAAGAAAAAAATAAATAAAAACCAGAATCATAAAGTGAATTGGCTAGTTAGTTGCATTCAGAGTGGCAACAATATAAAAGGTTCAATTGTAACAAAACAGTGAGCTGCTGTGCATATACACTTTGCCTTCCTAAAAGGCATTCAGTATATCATGTCAAATTCATACATACTAAGGAGTTCCCATGGTGAATCTGACTATACTTCACTTGAACAAAATGAAACTTAAACTTGATCTCATCACCTAGCATGTATTGATGATTATCATCAATCAAAGTGAAATTTCAATGGAAAATAAAACTGTCAATGTACCTTTCCAGTTTTTGTATCCACCACAGTTGAAATTTGCAGGCGCGGGAGAGCTACAGCCCGGAGATAATCACATTCCTGTTAAGATAAAATAATTGTATTCAGCAGATGATTTTTTTAAAAAAAATACTGTTAATTACCTAGGTGTAGCATTTGATTATTGATCCACTTTCATTGGATAGGAAGATCTTATATGTTGCTAACAAGTAACAAGCATATCACACTTTACAGCAGACAGCCTAGCACCACACATGGAAACTCCTTTTTTATTTATTTCCCACTCAGTAGGTGAGAGACTAATCTAGTAATCTCCCAAAGCATGATCAAGCACTAAAGCATAAAACCCTCCCAATAGTGTTTCTTCATGCACACAAATCTTGGAATCAAACCCAAGACAACATGCTTAAGGGATTTGACCTTCTACTCAGACCAACACATATTGGTACCTCACAGGAAACTTCTGCCTTCAAATAATAGTTAGAAATTTTAATTGACTCTTCAATCCTCACTGATGAAGCACCATAATAAATCCACTAAATTGTTTTTTGCGAAGAGAAATTTAAGAATATGCAATTAAGTGAAAAAGGTCCAAGATGACAACAGTGGATGCTCAATAGGATCTTTTTTAAAAGCTGAACACTAGTACCAGTAATTTATATGACCTTATATAAATGTTAAGAGCCAACAATAGGATAGAATAGAAAAGTATGAAATTCTGATGAAGGATAATTGCCCTTTATGTTCTATTAAGGAAAACTAGTATAAAACAGTAATGAAATCCAGATGTGCTCCTTACAAAGTTGACGAAAGTGACAACATAACTGCAGAAAACCTGAAAAGGAAAAGGTCCCTTTTTTTTTCCAAGGAAGAACTTTCTTCCATCTGCCCAGCCTATATTCCCCTAACAATTCTCTCCGGTCTCCATACCCTCTCTTGACCACCACCTCCTTGCTATATAGAATTGTTTCCATCTACCTCTTCACTTATCAATTGCCACCAGTTCTTTCTGTTGTGCCCACATTTAACTGCTTCCTCTCCCTCCAATTCCCATCCTATCCTTACCACTCCTTTATTTGTTAGCTCCTAACTGCGGGCCCAGCAAGCCTAACAACGGGTTACCCATCAATATATATATATAATATATATATATATATATATATATATATAGAGAGAGAGAGAGAGAGAGAGCGAGAGAGAGAGAGAGAGAGAGGTTCCAAACATGCTGCTTCTAGTTTCCCCATAAATAACAGCATAGAATGTAATGACAAATTGACAATTGCAGAAGGATGTTACTATTGGATTTATGTAAATTGTAATTTAGGGATTCTGGGTTTAAAGAGTGAATGTTTCCCTTGTTTTCTTGTTACTGACAAACATTCCTGGCTAAATACCAGCCAACAATACAATCATAAAACTAGTAGGAAATTAAGAACGATTATGTGCTGCAGAGACAACATTGCCGATTTTATTTTCATAATTTCATCCAGAAGCCATCTAATATTATGTTATGTTCAATAGGTTGCCTTCAGTCCCCACATCTGAAATTTTAATAAGATAACTCATGAATCGTGATTCTCATACAAAATTCCGAATGCCCCAAGAAACCTTTTTTTTTTCTTTATCATGCATAACTAGAATTAGAAATAAATAACAGCACATCTGTGAAGCATCATGCAGCAAGTTATACAACCAATTTTAGGGGATAAAGAATATAATACTTTTCCTTGCAGCATCATGCATATATGTGGTACAAAAAAACATAAACTTGAGCTAAAAATAAAACTACTAGAAAGAGGGAATGAGTACTTGAGTCCATAATGTTGAACCTATATAAATAAAAGAGCTTAATGAAAAATCAGCATTTAGAAGGAAGAGTATACCTCCATGCTCAGGAAGTTATTAAGTAAAATAATTCGCGGAGACCAGCTAAGCACTTCAGGTTTGACCTACAATTGAGGATCAGACAATAACAATAATCAAAATTTAAACATGCAAATCAATTCTTTTCTCCTAAAAATGAGAATAGCAAACAATTTTTCATTGAAAAAAGAAAATAAACTAGTTAAAAGTTCAGACAAAGATTACATTAATGAGTTCAAAGCAAGCTGGAATACACAGAAAGACATCAAGGCCTTAAACCTCAAATAATAAGACAGAAATCATGCATCATAACGGAGCTATTGGTCACTCAGGGTGCAGTCAACAGTCAAGTATTCTTAAATCATGCATTTAATTAAACGGATGGGAGAACTTTAATCTGGCTTATTTCTTTCTGATGAGGCATTCATATTTTATACTTTTACACCAAATATATAAGCAATAGTATTTTATTAATTTTATTTACCTGGAGGTCTGTGATTCTATCAATGAGGGTGAGACTGAGAAAACATGTACATAAAAAAGTTTTGCAGAAAAAAGGGAGACAACAGACATACATATCCAAGGCGTAAGACTTCTGCTTCCTTGTCGTTATTCCAATAAGGAATACCTGAAAATCAGAAGAAACAGTTAAAAAAGAAGTTCCAATCACAAAAGTTGCATGTTATTAACAAATTTAAAAATCAGTTTAAAAAACACACTGATGGAATTACTAATAACAAAGATAATTTTGTTTCACAAAAAATTAAAAATAAATAAATACAATACCTAGAAGACACAACAATGAAAAGTTTGAAATTCAGTCAGGATAAGAAAAAATATATAAATAATATTACCACTTTAAGATATAAAGTGCTAATATTAGGCACAAAATGAGATGAAAGAAATACACTTTAAGAAATTTAACAAAAAGCAATAACTTTTATACTGTAAAAAAACAAAAATAACACTGACCTCTTGCCAACTGAAGGTAACCATCGCTGTCAAGTCCACGCAATCTTCTAAATGGCAGAGAATCAGAGCCTAAATAGACCAGTTAGGCTAACAGCACGTAAGAATAATAATCAAACATATAAAAGTGTAGGTCACGTATCCCCCTATCATAAATTTCCCATTTGATTTCACCTTGTTAAAGAAGTAATACAGAAAATCATTTGTGTGCCTCCACCCAAAAGCCTATGCTTTTGAAGGAGTTGGTTCATGAAATGATATTAGGGCGTCGCTGACCAAGTGGTCTTGAGTTCAATCCTTACGTACCCGTTCTTCTAATAAAAGGTTAATTTTAGAATAAGGTAGGTTTGCTTGTGTAGTTTTTATAAGAACCTTGGGAGAACACACTACAAAAAGCTATTCGTTATAGTTGGACTTGGAGAACCCAAGACCTTGTAAACCCCACACTAGAATCCCATACTTCCAATGTGGGACTCAAGTCCCATACCTTGCAATGGGTCCTAACAAGTTTCTGTTTTAAGGGGGCGTTTAAGAAGTGAAAAAACAATTCATATGTCTTAACCTAAGTGGTTAAGCTTTTTTAGCATAGTTGGTTCCTATTGTCATTATCATTAACTATGAAACATCGACACTTTAATTTGCTTTACATATTCGTATATGATATTGATACTCTTACATACTCTTGGATACTTATGAAAATCCAATACAGCTATATGAGACATAGAAACATGTATAATATAGAAACATAGAAGCATTGTCTCTTGACAAAGCAAAAATGGAAATTGCCCCCTTTATGGATGATTAGAGAAATAAATGACTCGATAGTACTATTCCTATTTGTAAACAATAGAAAGTGATTTCTGATTACAATGATTTATATTCTTTTTGTTTTTAGTTATGTCCAAGAAGTATGTTCTTAATTTGAATTTGCAGATTGCAATTTATATTTGATGTTTTATGAACTTTTATTCATGTCTAAAGATGTAACCACACATGAGATTCTCACTTTATATGCCTCCTCGCTCTATTATTTTAGTCATTGAATCCATTACCAATTTTGGTTTCAGAATCCCCCCCCCCCCTCCTCTTCTATTCCGTTACAAAAAATAACTAAAGACCAATTAAGTCATGTTTTCATGTTCCAATTGAACACTTTCCCCTTTTTATTATTCTCATAGAGGAAGATTTTTCTTTCTTTTACCAAACATGCATGGATCCAATTACAATTTTCTAATAAGAACAAAAATTCTTTCACAATCAATCCTTTTCTCCCCATTTCAGTAATCAGAACGATCTTTGGAATCGGGACTCTTTAGATTCATTTTTATTTTTTATTTTCTTCCATCATTCCTTAACTCCCTCAGGTATCGTAACTTATATAGTTTTAGAATAACTGTATTATATCATATTTGAAACATGTATCACATTTGTGATTCATAGGTCATTAAGTATTGAGACTGAAAACATTCTTCTAGACAAGTTTTATTTTTTCTGTTTCAAAAACAGACAACAGTTCTTGAATGTAAAAGGTAAACACCCTTGAAAATTATTAGTAACAATACTAAGAACAAGGCTACGATATTATACCATATGAATCTTCCAATTTTCGTATGATAGCCAATTGAGAGAGAGCACCTGTAATTCCAGAACAGTAGAATGAAAAGCTCCCTCAACAAAGAAGATGAGAGGAAAGTTGCGGAAAGAAAACTTAAGCAACAATGTGCAAGTACCGAGGCACGGTAAGGAATTGCAACACAATATGAATGCTTGTTTTGTTTTTTGAGATAATTATGAAATGTGAATCAGAATTAAGAGCATGTATGAGCTGTTTAAGTAAAACAAATCCAAAGGGCATAAGGAAATAGGATACCTATAATCATTCCGACGGTGACAAATGTAAGAAGAGCGAAAACGATCTTCATCGCGGGCGCCATGTAGATGAAGAAAATGTCAAATCTGAATCACAATCGTTCTCGTTCTTGTTCTCGTTCTCGCAGACCAAATACAAAATTAATCTCAAACCGCTCCTTAACGCCCATTGCTTTTTATGCTCGTCTTTCTTTCCTGTTGAAACTTCTCTTTTTCCCCCATTTTCCAATACCTACTTAAGTCCCAACTATTTTACCCGCTTACCATTTTTTTTTAGCTTTACTCGCACCCGTTAAAATGATTAATCCATTTAACTATATTATTATGACTACAAAGAAGTATTTCATGCTTGCATTGTATTAAAAAAAATTAAAAGAAAAGATGAGAAATTATTCATTAAAAAATCATTATTAAAAAATAAATAAAGGCATGTAAAAATAAAAATGAAAATTAAAAACAATTATTATAAAAATGATTTATTAATTTTAAATTCTTAAATTTGATTAAAAAATAATTTTTCTAATTTTTAAAAATAAAATAATATAATGGTCTAAAAAAAATTGAGACTAAGATAGTTATCAAAAAATAGTATCCCCTTTATATATAATATAGATTAGTATAAATTTTTAGTAATGATATTTGAATTACTTTATTTTTATTTTTTATTTTTTTAAATATAAAAATATTTTCTATAAACTCCTGATAACTTGATAATAATAATAATAATTCCTACATTCATATTTCTATAAATTAAAAAAGTAATAAAAAAATAGCGTCAAATAAATATTTAATCGGGGTAGTTAGCCCTCACTTAAAAAAAATAACCTGAATTGTTTTTTAAACACTGTTTAATTCAGTGATTTAAAACCCGGACCGAACCGGTCGGTCGGACTCAACCGGTCGGTCGGACCGGTTAGACCGGGAACCGGTGGTCCAGCCGGTTCGAATCTTAAGTTAGACCGGTTATGTAGTTGACCCGTTTTAAACCGGATTGAACCGATCAATTTTCCGGTTCAACCGGTGAACTGGTAGGTCAAATCGGTTCAACCACTTTTTTTTTCTTTTTTTTTTTAATTTTTTTAAGGGATTATAAACCACAAAAATAATAATGAAAATTGAATCTCTTAATAAAAAGTAAGGAGTCTTATTAAATATAACAATGACTACTTATTCTAATATATTTGTTTGCAATATATACAACTTAAATAACTTTTATAGTATATTATTAATTTTAAATTATATATTTAATAATATAATATCTATGTAAATATTACATATATTATCTTGTGATATTAATTGCAAGCATATTATATATGTACATATTATTTGTATTTTTAATTTGTATTAATATATCGTTTAACATATAATTTTTTATGTATTTTTTTACAAAATATAAATATATTTAATATGAATTTTTTAAGAAATGTATTGAATCGATTCATTAAAAAGAATCGATTCAATCGCAACTTCGAATATGGAATTCAAAGGTATCAAATAGGAAATGATACTCTGAATCATAGAACTATAATGAAATACACGATCAACCAACATTTATCAAATTTGAAAAAGAGTCAGAAGAAATGGTTCGATCCTCTTATTTGGATTTCTCGAACGGAGAGATCCATGAATCGGGATCCTAGTGCATATAGATACAAATGGTCCAATGGGAGCAATAATTTCCAGGAACATTTGGACTATTTCATTTCTGAGCAGAATAGCCGTTTTCAAGTAGTGTTTGATCGATTGCATATTAATCAATATTCGATTGATTGGTCCGAGGTTATCGACAAAAAAGATTTGTCTAAGTCACTTTTTTTCTTTTTGTCCAAGTTTCTTCTTTTTTTGTCTACTGGTTTAACCTTTGACCCACTGACTCAGTATCTTAACCGGTTCGATGACCAGTTCGATTTTTAAAACTATGATTTAACTAAGTCAACCTCAAACTCTAATCACTGAATGTGTAGACCTGTAAAAATATTGTGCGGACCTTTGGTTGATAAATTGAACAATGAAGGTGGATTTTTTTTTTTTTTTACAACAAATGAAGATGGATATTTAAATTTGTCATTAAATATAAAGGTAAAACTCTAGCATAAATTAACAAATGATATAAAAATATTTAAAAACTTACATTCTTTTTCCATTCCTCCAGTTTTTGTGTGAATAGACATGTTAAAGGAGTTTCTTAACAAAAACATGTTAATAAGTCAAAAACATTCATTTTAATCATTTTACAAGAATAATATGTTGAATTAATCTTCAAATTATAAATAACGGTCAATTAAATCTCTAAAATTTCAAAATATATTTTATTCCTCAAAAATATTAATATGTTAATTTAGTATGGTATATATGTAACTTTGAAATATTTGCTCATTTTATTAGTTTGCAACATAAAAAATAATGTATTATAACATGTTATTTTACAAAAATTTGTGGAAAGGATTTTTTTATATGTATAAATTAATAATAAAATTCAAACTTAAGATTTTGTATGTATTGCCCTAATTTTTCACTAACACCATATTTTAACTCTTATAGAGAAGATCTTAGAAAAAATGATGTATATAATATTAATGTGTGTTAATTTTTTTTTAAGGATATGAACAGGTATTCTTATTTATATTTGTTAGTGTGCAACCCAAAGTTATATGTTCATTTATTTTTTTTCTAAGTTAAATTATATTTGTAGTCTCTATTTATTTTTAAAATTTAATTTAGTTTTATATTTTAAATAATTTAATTTAGTCTTATAATTTAAAATCACTAAATTTTCCAAAGGTACCTTCAAGGGCAATACTTTCATCAACAACATCATCATCTTATGACTTTCAAATAATTTCAACTATAATTTATGATTTCAGGTAACAAACCACAATTTTAATTCAATAATTTTTAATCAATAACTCTCACTTCAAAATGTTCAAACATGAAAAGTAAAAAGGAAGAAGGAAAAGAACTAAAATTCTTCATATAACTCAATCTCATATTTCTAACTTCCAAGCTTTAAATATAATAATCTGTTATCGTTATTCAATTAAGAGAATAGTCTATAAAACTCCTAAAAAATTAAAAGAAAGCAAAGATTTTTTTTATTTTAGTATTTATTTATCTAGTCTCTCTCTAACTTTTTAAAATATATGGTCTTATGAGATTTATGTTTTAAAAAAACATTAAATATTATTTTCTAAATGTTGTCAACTTGATTTTAACTAAAATTATCTAAATAATAACTTAATTCTCAAAGATATCTCAACTTTAGAACTCTAAGATAATAATAACACAACAACAATTAAACAATATACAATTAAACAATAAAAGCTAAAAATCATAATGTTACAATTTTATTATTGATATCTCTTATATTTATATATATTCATATTTTATTATTTTTAAAAATGTATTTATATAGTTAAATTAAAATAATATAAGACATTTATAAATATATATTAATATGCACAAGTATTTATATTTGTTTTAATACATATCTATTAACATATATATATATATATATATATATATATATATATATTTGCAAAGTTACCGTATAATAGATAAATTCCTTAATAATAATAATAATATAAAATAATATTGAATATGTGTGCATGGTAGACGGTATTTAGGTGGATTTAATATAATAAAATAATAAATAGGATTATGAATAAAAACAGTATATATTGAATGAAGGGTAAGGGTTGGATTAATGATCCGAAAATGAAATGGAAATGATATTTGATGGCGAGAATGAGAATAGTAGGATTAACGGTGCAGAGGGAAGTTAGGGATGTGGTGAAACGGAAGAGGAGAGGGTGTTTTAAAATGCACTATCCAATAATGAATTGGGGTTTTGGTTGGCGCCACGAAATTCCCGTGGATGCCATTTTCATTGTCACAGCAGAGGCAGGGGCAGAGAGAGAGGGAAAGGGATTAACGATAACCAAACCAATTTACTCCTCTCGCTCTCTCCTCACCTCAATTCGCAATCAACAATGGCGTCCCCTTCTCTGGCGGTGGCCCTCCTCCTTCTCTTCTTCAACTTTGCGTCGGCCGCCGATGACGCCCTCTGCAATCATGACTTGCAATTGGTAATTCATCGTCAATCCTCATATATGCATTATTTCCATGAATCAATGTCTTGTCTTGTGCTTGCATTTGCAGGTGAAGATAAAGAGCTGGGTTGACGGGAACAGAGATACAGAGTATAATGGTATGACTGCAGCATTTGGCTCTTATTTGCCTCAGAATCTTGATCAAGCTGTCAAATCTCCTGCAATTTTTGCTGATCCTATGGACTGTTGTTCCGCTTCAACCGCAAAGGTTTCTCATTCTCTCTTTTTCACAATTTACTCTCTTCCTTCATATCTATTCATCTTCTCACTTAACGCTTCATATCTATTGCTCTGCATTCTCTCTTTGCAGTTCTCTGGATCAGTTGTTCTATGTGTACGAGGTACTTGTGACTTCACAACCAAAGCTTCAATCGCACAGTCCGGAGGCGCTGCTGCCGCATTGATGATAAACGACGCAGATGGTATACTTTACCACTTTCATTTCTCAGCCTGTGTTGCGTGCATGCTTCTTTGGATTCAAATACCTTTTTTTTTGTAACTTCTAAGCTGATAATTGTATTCAAATTTTAAACTGTCTTAACAACATAATTGAGACTTTAGATTTGATATGGTATCGCTGTAAAACATTATTCATTGTCACTAAAAAACCAACTGAAATATCACAATCATTGGAGTAATTTCAGCATTTTAGTTGCATTAAACGATAGTGCTTCGTATAGCTGGAATCATATTCATATATGCCGTGTCGTGTCGGAGTATGTGCTTCATAGATTGTTAGATCCTATAGTTAAAAAACCAACTGAAACACTAATCAGCTTTCACATATCGCCTTGAGCTTGTAGGAGAGTTAATCACATTTTGCCTTGACAACACCCCAAAGTTAAATCCTATAGTTTGTCAGACCAAGCTGCATTGCTTTTCCAAAATATCACTTGCCATTAATTATTATTTTTCTAAGATAACAAAAAGAGTAGTTTAGATAATAAAGAGTAGAAAAGGGATGATATGTATCTTTCTAAGACTATTCCAAAACTGATGAGATGAATACATACGTTTGGATGAGGAATTTTGAAATTAAAAAAATTTAAAATTCTTAAATTTTGAATTTTTTTATTTTAATTTTTATCATTCTTTAAATATTTTGTTCATACAAGTCAATTTTTATTTTTTAAATTTTAAAATTTTAAATTAGATAGGACAATTTGATTTTCATCATGATAAAATTGATTTTAAACACACACATACATAATGAAATTTTAATACTAAATTTTATAAAACTAAATATTAGCTAATTTTTAAAATTTAATAATTTTAAAAAGTTAATATTAGATTATATTTAATAATTTAAAAATAATTTTAAATATTTAATAATTAAAAAAAATCTATTGATACTTTTTATATTGACTTTGAAAGAGAGAAGAAAGAAACAAGAAAAAAAGAGAAAGAAAAATGTTCATTTTTTTTTAAAGAATTTAAAATTCTATAATTTTAAGAAATTTCACAAATACTTAAATTTTAAATTTTTGGTAAATTCTCTATTTAAATAAAACATTTTATTCTAAAACACTCTTAAAGAATTAACATCACAATTCAGTAACCTACAATTACCTTTAACCACAGTTTTTAAATTTTTGTTATTTTAAAATTTTAATTTGTTTTAGTCAATAAAATTTTATATGATATATATGGTCTGAAGTCTATCTGTTTATTTTCTATAGAACTCTTTGAGATGGACTGCTCCTCCAATGACACTAGGACAAATATTTCAATTCCGATCGTGGAGGTAACAAAGACAACCGGAGAAACTCTCAAAAACTTTTTGACACCTAAAAGGAAAGGTCTGTCATTGAATTTTTACAACATATATTTGTAATTTTGTACTACTACCGTCTACTGCATTTGAAAGATTTGTGTTTATATATCTATTAACTTTTGTCACATAATTCTCCATGATGCATGTAATAAAATGTAATATTTAACAGTGAACACAGTAAGTCAGTAACTAACCACACCCAATTAACAGTGAACCCGATAGCCATATACAATACAATAATACACTTGCTTTCCCATAGACAAAAGCCTCGTGCCAAGAGTATTCCCTGCCTATAAACTATAAATAACAATATACTTGCCTAACAGCACACCTTACTATCAGATATACTCCTAATACATAACTGTCATAATTTATTTTTCTATGCATAAATGCCATTAGAAGATTTTTAATACAGAACTAATACAAGATAAATTATTTTCTATCACATATTCCTAATAACAAATGGCTCCGATCCAGAGTAAGATTTATAGCTCGGAGACTATGTTTAAGTGATGTGTAGCTACCAAGGGGGTGACCATTTTGGCTGTCTCAAATTCATTTGTGGACAAAAGTGATTGAGAATGAAGAGGTAAAGTTTAGCCAATAGCCCAATAGTATGTTGTCTATCGATTACCAGCACTTCTCTGTTATCGATTATCATGTTTAGTGGTTGTCTATCCTCACCAGAGCCTTAAGACTGCTTGATCATGTCTGAGAGCTTTTAATGTTTAAATGGATCAAATGAGGTGGGGTCTTACAAAGACATTCCACCACTTAAGTGAGTGTTTATATAAACGTTTATCGAAACGTGAACGTATGTTTGTTCAAATATATCTCATAGTTATTTATCCGTTTCGTGCTTGGAAAATTGAGATTGTCCTTTTAAAGCCCCTCAAACGGAAATCTAAACATGCTCTAAGTATGTCTTGGAGTTAGAAAGAAAACATACTTGAGGTATCCTTTGATGTGTGTTTATAAAGGCTAGTGAAGATTATCCTCAATCCCTCATTGTATGTGGTAACTGATTATTTGGTTTGGTGTGGTAACTGCTCACTTAATCAGTGTGGTAATTGCCCAAAGGGCTTGGGGGATTATAACATATTCCTTTTATGATTAGAATTACAATTATTCTATATGGATGAACATTAATTATTTATCTTCTCTTTCTTTTCTTTGGTTCCATTGATGCATTGCATTTTTTTGCCACTTATGGACTTGTCTTAGTCCTGTTGGTACAATTCTTATTTTTTTTTAAAAGGAGAAACAGTAATATAAGTCCGAAGCTCTTTTATCATTGCATTCATCATATAAATTTAATTGATGGGCTAATAGTTATAATTGCAGAACTTTTATTTGCTTGGTAAAAACTTCATACATCCATCTCCCTTCGCCATATTTATGTTTTTGAGAAATTTCAGTCGAAGCAATTAGTTTATGTATAGAGTGGAGTTTAAATTTTTTTTATAAATAATTTTATTTAAAATAATAATAAAAATTATTATTATTATATAATTTATTATTATTATTATTTAAAAATATATTATTACTTTCACAATTTACTACCTATTTTTTTATTATAAAATTTAATTTATTATTTTAAAAATATATTTATACATAATTTAATATGTTTAGGGCTTCAACGAGTATTTATACATTGGATATGTATATATTTATACATTATTTAATATATATGTATATATATATATATATATATATATATCTGTG